CAACCTAAACAACTCTTTCATCACCTTCAAAATCCCTCTCCAGATTCACCCTACATACAAAAATTTCACAAAAAAATTTCATAGAAAAGATCACAGAAAAATACAAGCTCATAACCATCACTATAATACTCCAATCGATAACCTCAAACTAGTAGGTTCCCTCCTCTCTATTCAACCAACCCGGATCTGAAATAAAAACTTGCAAGCATCTTACTACAAACAACAACAGAAATAATAACACAAAATTAGAAGAAGGACCGAAGAAAATCAAAAGCGAGAAACATATACTTGAGAATCTTCATAATCGCAGTCAGAAAAGCATCGAGCCTACTGCCGGTAGGTAAGCCTAAATCTCCCTCATTTATTTACCTTTTACATCAAGCTTGTGATCATGATGTGTGTCTTTACTAGCTGAGTAATACCCCTAATGTTTCAAGATTTAAATCCGTACCCTTAGCGTTTAAATTTCAGTACGAACTTCCTAGGTTTTTCAAGGTTTTGTTTGGATTTGAGGAGGCAATGCATGGAAGAATCGGGGGAAGGAATTTCGACGGTGTATTAAGATAAGGGGGGGGGGCTTGAATCATAAGGTGGATATTTGGAAAATAGGAGAAGGCATAGAACAAAACATAGAGATTGAACAGATGAATCTAAAACCTAACGCGTTTCAAAAGAGAGAAATTTGTGGTGAGTTTGTGATGGTGATGTTGATACGGGTGGGAGAGAAAAGGGTTTAAACAAGACAGTAATCGGAGGGAGCATTTTGTGTGAGAGAGGAAGAGAAGAGAATTTGTTGTGAGATAAGAAGAGAGAAGCAGTTTCACGTGAGAGGATAGATTATTTCATTTTGTTTTAATTAAGCTAATTGGAAAATGATCAGACTTAATGTAAAAATTAATGCCTTCCCCTTCCCAAGGCACATAAGCGGCGCCCCTTTACTGCTTTAGGGTTTTCAAATTTTTCCTTTCCCTTATCCAAACCGGGTCAGCCCATTGGGCTGCTGGCCCAATCCCATTACTGTTTCCCCTTTATGTTTTAATTGAACCATTGTTATAACTAATAAACAACATATCTCAACTAGCAAAGCATCTAATAATAAACCTTGGGGACCCGGGTTCAACCCCTGCTGGGGGCATTTTCCAATTTTTAGTTTCTTTAGGCTTTATCTTTATGTATTTTACCATACTTCTTAAAAAATATATTTATTTAATTTCTTTTCTTTACATAGTTATTGCATGAGAAAAATATAAAAACATGTTTGTTTTAATTAATCTTTCATTTTGTTATTTAGTTAATCTTTTGTTTAATTTTCTTTAATTCAATTTGTTTCATTTAACTTAATAAAATACCCAAAATAAGTTAAAATTAGGTTTCGATACTCATTTCACAATAAGTTGTAAAAATATTATAGTATTATTTTCTTAAAACAATAAAAAATATTTAGAGTCTTAGTTTCTTTATTTGTTCGTTCAAACCCCGATGCCATACTCCCTCAGTTAGCTTCGTGAGGTGATTAAAACCCATTCGACCGCCTTATGTCGAAATAGACTTTTTTAGCTCACTTGTACATAACAAACAAATAGGTTTTAATTCCCCACTTAACCTTTTCTTCTTTTGTAATTAAAACTTAACCAAACAAATCCAAAAAATCCAAAAACATTTAATCATTACTCGAATTTATTTTAAAACCCGCAAAAACACCCAACCAAGCAAAACTCCCCCAAGGGCATGTTATCTCTGTTCTACCGCGATATTGGCCGTACCTATTGCTAGAATGCATGCGTTAACGTCGCCCACTAAAAAACACAAACAAACCAATCATTTTCTAGAGGAACTACGGTGTTCTAATTCCTTCATTGGATACATAGGCAAAGGGTCGCGAAACCCTCACGAACGCAATAATCAAAAACCATCCATCTCCCTGTAAGCAAGCATAGTTGTAGATAAACACACCCTTTAAAACAAACAAACAAAATGGATCCCGTTGAGTACAACGGGTGTGAGGGGTACTAATACCTTCCCCTCGCATAACCGACTCCCTTACCCTTTCTCTTGGTCGTGAGACCATCTTGTCCATTCCTTTGTGGTTTTATCGATATTTCCCTTTCCTTCGGGATAAATAAAGTTTGGTGGCAGCTCTATGTTTTCTGCCGGTGGCTTCAGTGTGAAAGGCGTCTGGAATTACAGAGGATCAAATACCTTCAGATCAAAGCCAATCCCCCCTTTTAAATTCTATCTCTGTATTTGTATAATCATCTTGTAATGACTTAAGGCCATTTTGGCAATTCTTAATGAAATTTCCATTTTGGCTTTTTCCTTATTCCGACTGTGACTATACATTGGCTATTTTAACCTCTTGAAGCATAGGTATATTCTTTTTCAAGTATTTACCATTTACTCTCAAGAGCCTTTGATCTTCATTTAACTCCTCGATCTCATAGGCTCCACCAGAGAGAGTTTGGATTATTTTGAAAGGTCCTTCCCACTTAAGGGACCATTTTCCCATATTTCTATCTTTTCGATCCATTGGGAGAATTACCTTCTATACTAGATCCTCAGGCAGAAACGTCTTAGGTTTTACTTTTCGATTGTAGGATTTTTCGACCCTTTTCTTCTGTAATCTTAAGAGGTCTAAAGCTTTCAACCTTTCTTCGTCCAAATCGACTAATTCGTCCAACATCATATTCCAGTAAACTTCAGAAGGGATATCCTGATGTCTCTGAACCCTCGTTGACTGTAGACAAATTTCCACTGGCAATACCGCATCATGACCATAAGTTAGACGAAATGGTGTTGTTCCTATAGCCTCTTTAGGAGAGGTTCGACAAGCCCATAAAACTTGATCTAGCGTCTTATTCCAGTTTCTTGGTTTCTTTCCCACGTGTTTCTTTATTAAACTGATTACTACCTTATTTGTAGCTTCGACTTGGCCATTGGCTTGTGCATAGTAAGGTGTAGACGTTAACAGTTTGAATCCCGTTTCTGTAGCAAATTCTTGCATTTTTCGACCCGTAAATACTGATCCTTGATTTGTCGTTATTGTCTCAGGGGTTCCAAATCTATATATATTGTACTTTTGAATAAATTCAATGACATTCTCTTGGTCTACATTGACTAAAGGAATTGCTTCAATCCATTTAGTAAAATAATCAATGCCCATCAATATGTATTTCTATCTTTTAGATGATGTTGGTCGAATCTCTCCAATAAGATCTAAATCCCATCCTCTAAAAGACCAAGGTTTCACAATCGAATAAAGTTTGCTTGCCGGTACATGCTGGATTCCTGTATGCACTTGACATTCTTGACATCCTTTTGCAAACTCAACACAATCTTTTAACATAGTGGGCCAATATAGTCCTTGTCGAAACAACAACCATTTCATCTTATGGCCTACTTGATGTGCTCCACATGCCCCGGCGTGTGTGGTAGAAAGAGTTATGTATGCTTATGTTTCACTTAGGCATTTCAATAGCACACCTTCAGGTGTTTTCTTAAATAATTCATTTCCCATTAGTATATAGCTTAACACCCTATACTTTATCTTTTGCTCCATCGAAGCCACTGGATTCTGTAAATAATTTACTATAGGCTTTCTCCAATCTTGTTCTGTTAGATTGTCTATGAACGAAATCTTGAAGTTTTCATGATCAGTGTATCCCAACGTTGTTGTTTCTAAATCTGTTGGAGACAACTTAGTGTATCCTACTCTTCCTCTAACTTAGATTGCTTGTTGTAATTTTTCTTTTGAAACTTTATACCCAGAAGCGATCTGTGCTAAATCATTAGCCACTTGATTTTCCAATCTTGGTATATGTCGAATGTTAACCACTTCGAAGTTCTTCAACAAACGCCTGGCTATTATGAAATACATGATAAGATTTTCTCTTATGCATTTTTATTCTTTCGTAACTTGTTTTAGGACTAACTCTGAGTCTCCCATTATTTCAACTCGAGTTTCCCCCAATTCCAACAAGATTTCAAGGCCTACGATTAAAGCTTCGTATTCAGCCTCATTATTCGAACAGTCTCCTTCGATCTTGTACTTAAATGTTGTTGGAATTTTGTTTGGAGAAATAATTAGAACCCCCACTCACTACAAGAAAATTAGTGTTTAACGACACAAAAATTGCGACAGTTATGTGATAACTGTCGTAATTAACATATAGAGACAGTGTTTACGACAGTTGACACCAACCGTCCCTAATATTTATTTTGCGACGGTATATTTAACCATCATAATATTATTATTACGACGGTAAAACAACCGTCGGCCCCCATTTAACACTTTTAACATTGATTTTTCACCAACAACTAGTCACGACGGTAAAATTAACCGTCCTAAAAGGCATATCACGATGGTAAAGCACCCATCGCACCCTTAAACCTTTCACGACGGTAAAATTATCCGTCCTAAAATTCATTTCACGACGGTAAAATAACCGTCGCACCCAAAACCTTTAAAAATCTCTTGCTAACTTATATATTTTATCTAATTATAATTGTTATGTATATTTAAGTTCTCTCTTGTTAAGGTTAAGTTTATGCATTATTATATATTCTATGAATTTGATACGACAATGGTGTTATGTTCAATTTAATCAATCAAATAAATTTAATCTTTCATCTTTTTCTCAATACTTGTTATATTTGTATTATGCTTGAGGAGGATCTATGAGATGTCGAGACGGTCTGATAGGACTAGACCAAGGGTAACTTATGGTTATGCCTCGAAAGACATGACTTTTATAACATGATATGTGGATTTAATTGATGTTGAAAAATGATTTTAAGTTTATACCTAAATAATCATTTATCATGAGCTAAAGTATATACATAGAGCTTGACATAATATTCACATATATAGTTGAAACACAATGTTATTGTTAAATTTATACCTAATCCTAACTAAACACAAATTGAGTTGCACATTTCCTCTGAAGTTAGAATTTTGATAAACCCATCTTGCAGCCATTACAAATCGTGTATTGAAGTGAAGAATGCTTCCTCAGCGAATGAAGAAAGCCGTTACTGATAACCCTAAAAAGCTCTCAAACTTGATCGATCTCGTTAACCTTCCTCCCACTCTCAGAGACTTCGTCGGTCAATCTCAGACTTCTCGATTAACCTGTTTCATGCGTGTTTGGTCCTACGTCAAAACCAACAATCTTCAGGTTCTGCTTTGTTTTTTCAACTCATGAAAATTGATTCACATCAAAGTAATTGTTGTTATTGTTCAGTTTTCAGGATTGGAGAATTTAAACTTCGGCGACTTCAAGTTCGCTTCCGTTCCCAATCAACCACTCCCTTCCACCTCCGATTGGGGCAACTTCGTCAACCATTCCAATCACATCAATGGCACCACCGTTTCAAAACCCTCTGATCCATTTACAGTTTCCCCGGATCCCCTCGGGAAAACCGCAAACAAAGCTCGCGGAGCTATTCCGCTTTCAATCTTCGACGAGGAAGAAGATGATGAACCTGTTTCTGATTCCAGTTCCAATGATTTTTTCTCCAACGGTGGTGGTGCTGTTGTGAAAAAGGGATCCGATTCGAATGGTTCCGTTGGAATTAGTGATTTGATTTCCAATTTGTATCATCAGCAAAATGGATCAGCTTTGAAATCCAATGTCGGCTCTACCAGTCCGAAGAAATCGAGTGTAAACGATTTGAATCAGGATGAGGACGAGGACGAGGACGATGGATGGGAATTCAAGTCTGCGGAACGGGAAACTGTAAATGAAAACTTCAATGTTAAGGTAAATTGGGTGAAGCTTACATGAATGCTAGAAACTAGTATAAATTTTGTATTCATTCATTTCAATTTTGTATATTTATGTTTTGGAGTAATAATATATTAAGAAACTAAGTTTTTGGCCTTTGGGCAAGAGGTTCATTTCGTGTTTCTTCATAATAACACGTGCTTGCTTAAATATAAAGACCTTTTTTTCTCTTCTTCATGAATTGCATTTGATTGAAGTGATATTCTGTATTATATTTTTAATTAAGGTTGAAACGCCCAAGCATGGTAACAGTGCAGTTGGAGCTGGTGCTTTGTTAGACTCATCTGACAAAGTTGGTGAACGGAACCTGGGGTTTGAGTTCAGTCCTATTTCTGCATCTCACAGCCTACAGCTAAGTCCGAAAGGTGAATCAAATGAAAATGGAGCTGGGTTTACCATGTTCAATCAAACTTTTGGGAAGTTGGCAAATGCACATTCATGGCCAGGATCAAATCAAACTTTGGTTGGTTGTTTCAACATTGTTTCCTCATTTTATGTAACATTGTTTAGATTGTCAAGGAATATGCATTAATACAATCTGATTATGGATAAATGTGTGGTTAATGTGACTGCATTGAATCCATTTTGAGTGAACCCCTTCTTCTCAAGAAACTAAGCTTCACCTTTAAAGCTCTTCACAAAATCAATTTGATTGTCACACTTTGGACCGCATTCGTCATTGCTATTCGTCCATAACTCATACCCAACTCTGTCGTCCGGATGCGGAAGAGCCTCTCTCCAATCAAGATTTATGTGAACAACCTCACCATTCAAGAGAGCTTTCTTGATTCTATCCCCCAAGGATTTGCTGATAAGAGTAGAAGGAATACTAACCTCTGCAATTTAGGTGAACAAATTTTGATCATATGTTTTTTTTAGAGAATCTTATTTACATTATACATAATCTTCTTTTGACAGTCAATGTACAGTCGCTATTTGGATCTCCTTCCAATTTCCAAGTTTACACTGCTTTATTGAAACCTCATGAGAGAATTATGGCACTCGATCTTCCCCATGGTGGGCATCTTTCACATGGATATCAGGTAAGTTATGCTTTTAATTACCATTTGTGTTCATTGCACCTGCTGCCATGAGTTGACAACCATAGCAAGTATGCACTAGCCACTAGGATATGACAAATAAATGTTGCTGCAAAAATGGCACTTAAGTGACTGGTATATTGTCTTTTTTTTTTTTGTTTTTGCTTATTTAGGTAAGAAAACAATTTATCAAGGAAAGAAATTAAAACAGGACTTCTCTTAAGACAACAAAAAAAATTTAGTAAATAAACAAAAGGGAAAAGAAGTCGGTTAAAAAATGTATTATATAGGAAGTATGAGCAGTTGTGGTCAAAATCATACAAGGAAGCTAAGAAAAAAAATCCTTTCCTTAAATTATGCGTGAGAAAGAAATTCAAATATTTCAAATCATATTCTAGCCAAATAAACTTGTGATTAAATTAATTCTCTCTAAACTTCTTTCTTAGATTGTAAATGGACCAGACACAGTCTATAAGCATTTCAATAGAGCCAAACCATTTATAAAATATTTGCATCTCATAAAATTGAAAAACAGTGTACTGTATGCAAATTACAAATTAGAAGCCTCTTAACTTTTCAGTCTTACTGAAAGACCCCTAATTTTACCTCACTCTCAATCTTTCTTTTACAATGCCATCTACTAGTTTCTTTTAATTATTTTACACTTGTGTTAGTTGTGGGATTAGTAGGCTAAGCCAATGCAGAATTTTCCCAATGCTCTTTCAAAATGGCTCTAGATTCACATCTGTTGCTTGACATTTACTTTCCATTTTGTTGTTAAATTGTTGTTTTGTTAAAAAATTTAGAACAATGTATATCCTATTTCTCTATACAAACTTTCATTTATATCTTTGTGTTATGCAGACTGACACCAAGAATATATCAGCCGTATCTATATTCTTTGAAACAATGCCATACAGATTGGACGAGAGCACTGGTTATATTGATTATGACCAGGTAGGTAGGTAGCATTGTATTTCTGTATTGTGGACATGTCTGTTTCAATCAAAGACAATTTTTCTAGTTCTAAGTAGCCAGTATTGTTTTTGTTTCACTTGTTGTCACCTTTACCTTTGTCAATATGCAAGTGTTTTCTCATTCAATGTTTGGTTATAGCGTTAGGTTTTGTGCTTATTGACAGTGCTTTTTATCTTTCTTGCATGTCCTAGATTTAAACATGTACTTTATGGCTTGACTTATCTAATATACCTGCAGATGGAGAAAAGTGCTGCACTTTTTAGGCCAAAATTAATAGTTGTCGGTGCTAGTGCTTATGCCCACCTTTATGATTATGCACGTATTTGCAAGGTAAGCTATATCTGATTATAGAAACTTAGATATTTTATGTTCTTAACATTGTAGTGATGATATTGCGTCTTTCACATTTGAATTGTTTTAGGTCTGTGATAAACAGAAGGCAGTTATGTTAGCTGATATGGCCCACATCAATGGATTAGTTGCTGCAGGTGTTATTCCTTCTCCTTTTGATTATGCAGATGTTGTAACAATCAGTTTGCCTTTATTTTATGGTCGGGGTAGGGATTAAAAGAATCTCAGTTGTCTTAGTTGATATATTAACTCATTCATTTGTGCTCTTATGTTTTTCAATGAATTTTTTCAAATATGAGGGTGGTATATTTCTATTTGAGTAACCAGGCTTGCAATATGTAGATAGCTCCTCATCAAATGTTTGATGATTAGGAAGCAAACAAAATTTTGCATTTTTGCAAAGGTGAGAATACAAAGCAACAATCCCTCCTGCACAAGTTGAAAGCATCAGTACTACTACACTTAATACATATTATAAAGGGATTTTTTTGAGGAGGGGCAGGGGATCGAGACTCAAAATAATAATGAATAACAATCCTTACCATTGCTCAATGTACTGCTTTCTTATTATTCATGGCAAAAATGTCAAAATTATATACCAACAGTATTATTCAAGTCCAATTGCAATAGTTTGTGCCACCTCCTAGTTTGTGCCAACTTCTTTTTACGTATATATGGAAGTCCATGATTTGATCAAGAGGTTCTCCCCCAATATATTATTCTTGTTATATAAACAATAGCTCAATTTTTTCTTTTTCATGTGCAGAAAAAATTACAAGCTGCAATTAAGGATTCTGTGTTTGAAAATGAGGCATTTCAGAAAGTATTTGGAAAAGAAAAGCATGGATATGTTCGTAGTATGGGACTTGGAGTTACACCATCTCAAATTAATAGATCTACGAGATCGACATCTTCTTCTGCAGAAAGTGAACAAATAAAGGAAATGCAAGAAGAAATTAATGCACTTAAAGAAAAGAATTCAAAAATTGATGAATTAACACAGGCAATCATATTCTTAACGCAAAGGGACAAGGCGAGGACAAAGGAAATTGAACTCTTAATGCAAATGCAGAATTTTAGTGGAAGACAGGTATATTATTTTGACGCATTTAAAGTTAAATTTTATGAGTATTATTTTAAAGATTATTATTTTAATACCTTTTTTTAGGGATTGGAATCACCCGCTGATGGTAGACGTTCATCTGAGTCTAGCTACCGTATTGGAGATAATGGAACTTCAGGGGGGACAAATTAGACTTTGCTATGATCGAGATAATTAGATTGTGAACTTTCTCATGTATTTTTGGCATAATGATACTTATTATTATAAGATTAGGAATTGATATATTTTGGGTTTTTTGTACTACTTGACATGATTATGGAACAGACGTTTTTTTGGATATTATAATGCTTATTTGATGTTAAATATTTTTTATTGAAATTATTTTTACTATATTACAAAGTGATAGAAAATAAAACAAAAAATAATACTATAAATAAATATATTAAAGAAGAAATAATTTAAAGAAGAAATAATTTAAAGAAGAAATAATTTAAAGAAAAAAATAACACAAAAAAAATTAAAAGATATTCACGACAGTATCGAACCGTCGCCATAAACAATTTAATCAATTTCAAAAGATATTCACGACAGTATCGAACCATCGCCATCAATAATTAAAAGAAACTCAAAAGATAGTCACGACGGTATCAAACAGTCACCAATACTTGATTATGTCAGCTCCAAACCCGTCGTAAACTTGAACGACATTTTTTGTAACCGTCGCGAAATAGGTTGGGGACACACACTTCTGCGACGGTAAAGCAAACGTCGTGGAAATCAAATTGCGACGGTTTTAACCGTCGTAATCTACAAAATACCTGTCGCAATCTGCCAATTTTCTTGTAGTGACTCCAGTTCTGTCTTTATGACTAGAACTGTCAAAGTATGACTTCCAAGGTTCAATCTCCAAGTAATTTAGTGATTCTTCATTTATTGAATGCTCGACTATAAATTCTGCTACCACTTGACCTTTCACATCCTTGAGAGGCATAAAGGTTAATGAATACTCAGTTAATGCAAGTTCCCATTTGCCAATTCTACTGTGCAAAATAGGTTTCGACAACATATATTTGAAAACATCAAAATGAGACAAAACGTAAACATCAACTGGTTTAATATATTGCTTGAGTTTTGTACACGAGAAGTAAAGACATAAACCTAGTTTTCAACTTCATTATATCTAGTTTCTGCATCATTTAAAACTCTACTGAGGTAGTAGATGGTTCTTTCGACACCATTCCCATCCTCTTGAGCTAACATGCTCCCTAAGGTTTTATCAGATGCAGCTATGTACAATCTCATACTTCTATTTCTACAAGGAGGTACCAGAATAAATGGATTGGTGAGGTACTCTTTGATTTTGTCGAAGGCCCCTTGTTGTTCTTTCCCCCATTCAAATCCTCATTTGCTGAGTCGAAGTAGTGGTGAGAAGGCTTGCGTTTTCCCACTGAGGTTGGATATAAATCTCCTTAGGAAATTTATCTTTCCAAGTAGAGACTGCAATTCCTTCTTGTTGGTTGGCGCTTTGGCTTCCAAAATAGCTTTGGTCTTGTTTTGGTTTATCTCGATTCCCTTTTTATGGACCACAAAGCCTAAGAAGTCCCCTGCTTTTCCACCAAAAGTGCACTTTAGAGGATTCATTTAAAGACCATAGTGTCTCATCCTCTCAAAGGATTGTCGAAGATGGTCCATGTGAGCCTTCCCTGAAACAGATTTGAGAACAATATCATCAATATAAATCTGCATAAAAGTCTCAATAAAATCATGGAAGATAGAATTCATTGCTCTTTGATATGTTTCCCCTGCGCTTTTTAGGCCAAAAGGCATCACTACCCATTCGTAAGTGCCTAAGGCCCCAGGGAAACGGAATGCTGTTTTCGATACATCCTCTTCAGCAATAAAAATTTGATTATATCCAGAGTATCTGTCAAGCATACTCATATACTCAAAACCAGCGGCAGAATCGACAAGCATTTCCGCCACAGGCATTGGATATTCATCTTTGGGTGTTGCAACATTCAGATCTCTGAAATCAATGCACACCCTTAAGGTACCATTTTTATTTATAACAAGTACTATATTTGCAATCCATTCGTCATACCTGGTCGTTTGGATGAACTTGCATTTCAGCAGTCTTTCGACTTCCATTTTTATTTTTGACAGAATCTCTGGTGCAAAGCGCCTTGGAGTTTGCTTGACAGGCTTCTTTCCAGCTTTTGTTGGCAATTGTAGTTCCACCAAACTTCTGCGAGACCAGGAATTTCATCATAATCCCATGCAAAGCAATCTCTGAACCCTTTCAACAATTGGATCATTTCGACCCTGAGTTCTGGATATATCTTCACGCTGATATATGTTGGCTTTTTTCACAGGACCTTCATCTAGGTTTAATTCTTCTAAGGGGTCTTGTGCTAGCATTCTAACACTGTTCACCAACAGATCTTTTTCGAAACCTAGAGGTTCATCATCATAGATGGCGTCTAACCTCTGATTTCGTACTTCTTTCTCTTCTGAGTCAGGAGGTTCTGGGTCGAAATCCTTCCCAGGGCCTTCTTGGGAAGATACATGTTCATTGGCTTCAAGAGCCATATATTGGACTTCAGCCTCTAAGGCCGCTATCATTCTATTTTCAGCTGCATATGCCGAAATCCTTTGTAGAGCCTGTGATTCAGTCATCATCACCAAACTCACTCCCCCAGCCTGTTGGCCTTATGTCATCAACCCCTCCATAGTTGATGTTTGCTAAATCCTCTCTATCCCACTGAAAACCATGATCAGAGTGTAGGTAAAGAGAGCAGAAAGCATTGGGTGTTGGAGTCAGATCGAATTTAGGAGGGCTGCATGGCCCTATATGAGCCAAGTTCCTATCGAAGCTATTTTTTCCAATGTTGTTAACTTCGCCCAGGTAGTAACTTTGATCAGCCTCAATGTTCTCTATGATACCATCAGGGAACCATATTGTAACCCTCTAATGCATCGAAGATGGAACTGCACCTATGCCATGTATCCACTCTCGACCTAAAAGCAGATTATAATTTGGTTTTGCTGAAATTACCATAAACATGGTAGGTCTAAGAATTGAGCCCACCTTGAGATCCAGTTGTATAACTCCCATGGTGGTTCCAATACCCCCTTCATAATTTGAGAGAACCATGTTGTGGGGCTTAATATTAGTATCCCCTTTTCCTACTTTCCTCAGTAAATATTGTGGAATTATATTTATGGTCGCCCCACAATCAACCAAGATTTTATTTATGGTCACTTCCCCTATCTTTGCTCTGGTAAATAGGGGCTTGAGGTGATTCTTCATCGCCTCAGTAGGTGGCTCAAAGACAGCGTTCTGCTCCTCAACACAACCATTATTCATCACGTAGTAACACATTGGCCTATGTCTGGCCATTTCTTGTTTGACCATCAAGTCGGTTTCTTCGACTTCAACCTGACGGTTGTACTCCCTAGGCAGCACTGTTATGACATTTACCATAATATCTAAAGTATCGTCAGAGTCAGAATCACCGTCGGCATTTGACCCACATTGTTCTGGCCACACCAATCTTCTAGCAATTGGTTCCCTCTCTAGAGGTTTCCTTTGCTTTCCTTTTCCTTTTCTTGGCACGTTGGTGATAGATTCTGGGTGAGGCTCTGCTGCAGCCTCTTTCTCAGTTTTCCGCCGTCTTTAAAATCTTCGCCATTGGGAACGAGACATGGGGTTCTTCCCCTTGTAGTTGCTTGATATGTGAGCCTTTTTATTCATTGTAGTAGTATGGTACTCTTTTCGGTAATCCAAAGAAGAGCCCCTTGGCATGTCAAACGTTTGCCATTTTTCTTCATTGGGCCTTTTTCTGCCCACTGTATTGAGCCAAGTATCCACAAGTACATAAGTTGGAGGCTGAAAAGTTGGTGGCCTCCTCACTTGGTTCATGGGTCCCTTTTGATGTCCCCTCCTGGGATCATATCTAACTTCTGGATCCATTTTTGGCTGAGCATTGGTGCCCCATTTCGCCTTCATAGCTCTTACACCTTGTATGTGCTCCGCATCCTTCTTGTCGAAAATGGAACTGCATTTGGGACACATCATCACTTCAGACTTTTTCTTCTGGCATCGATGTAAAAATTCTGCCGGGTCCTTGTTTTCTTTTGGAAATGTTGTCTTGTTCACTTCCTCTTGTCGAATGGCCTCCTCCGGAGCCTTGGCCTCAGATACTTTGACCATGTTTTCCTCCAAGTTACTCTTGGCAACGAGGTTTAGTTTTTTTATCTTGGCTTCCAAGTTTTCTGTCGATCCCTTAACGGCAGCCAAGTAAGAACCTGTAGTGGTTCTCTTGTAGGAGCCTTCAGCAACTCCTTTGTTTGAGCCTTCAGTAGCTCTTTTGCTTAAGCCTTCAGTAGCTCCTTTTCCTGAGCCTTCATTAGCTCCTTTGTTCATGCCTTCAGTGGCCTTCCTCACACTTTGACAGTTTTCCTAGATATGTTTCCAGTAAAACTGCCAAATACAGGCTTGTTGATGAAGTTCTCAAAAACTTCGACCATATGGATGCCAACTGGTTCAGCATAGTGTGCATCCATTTGTAGTGGGTTTGCATCAATTTTCATTGCCGGCTTATCAACGAACTTGAGCCTTCCTTCTTTAAGTCCTTCTTGAACAAGATCCCTGAAAACAAAACATTGTGAGGTTTTATGGCCCAGAAAATTGTGATATTTATAAAAACCTCTTTTCTTTGTTTGTTCTAAAGGAGGCATTTTTTTACCCAGGGGGCACTATCATTTGGCCATCTTTCACTAATAAATCAAATATTTCATCACATTTAGTGATGTCAAAAATATATGTTTTCTTTGGGAATTTGTCATTGTTCCTTTCGGACTCAACGAGATTCTTCCCATTTGAGGGCACTAGCAATTTACAAGAGTATGGCGGCCCTTGTTTTAATTCTGCTAAATCTATTTCGCCTTCTTCGACATCTATAGGATCACTAGATGTCGTTGGATCGTCATCATCCATTTCAACATAGGCTACTCTTTCCCTTCGATGAGTTTTGGTCGCTTTAGCCTTTTCGGCTTTAAGGCATTCTACTTGTCGAACTCTATCGGCCAGCTGGGCCATGTCTCTCAAGTATTGGGTATCTAACTTTTTCCTAATGGAATAATCTAGGCCCCTTGCTGCCATTTCGACCAATTCATGTTCAGGCACTTGG